ACAGTTCTCATGATTCCCTAGCATTGAGCCAGGGCAGTGCCTCAATTTAATGTGCACTATTTCTGGTAGTCTTCTTAGGCCTTCAGTTTCCTAAAAGTCTCTGAATATACTTCACCAAGAGAGGCAGTGAATATTGTGCATATTTAAAATAGTTGTAAACCTTATTTTAGAAACCGTGGTCACTGTTATATCCTTGATAGATGAATCCTTGTTCTGATGACTTAAACAGGAAGTTTTTGAGCTGTAAGGAAAACTGGTATTAAAATTTCATGAGCCGTGTCCCTATGCTCTAGGTGAACATGTATGTGTTACTTTTTGACTTCTGGTGCCTCCATGAATTTCATAGGGTTTTCTTAGGCAAGGAATACTCAGTGATGGTTCTTCTAGTTTCTCCCTCTGAACTGTAGCCTACAGCACCCAATATTCATTGGTGATCTCCCATCCAAGTGATAACCAGGGCTGATCCTGCTTAGCTTCCAAGATTGGACAGGCTGGTGCTATAAGGGTATTTAGGCTAGATGAACTTAGCTACAGCTAATTTACCAGCATCTTGCCATCTACCTGCAGTCTTGATATTCTTACACACTAGAGCAGGGAAGGGGAATGTTTGGCCCGCCAGATGTTGTGAGATTGCAGCTCTCATCAGCATTGTTCATCATGGCCAGTATTGAGATGCAGTGGGTGTTGCAGTGCAGCAATGCCTGTAGCACAGTGCATTTCCTATCTCTGTTCTAGAGGGGACCTTGAATAAATAAGCAATCTATCACTTGTAGATAATATTTCCCTTACCTCTTCAGGCATTGGCAAGACTCTGGGTTCATGATCATCTATGTGACTGGGCGTCCAGATATGCAGAAGCACCGTGTGGTAGCTTGGCTTACCCAGCACAACTTTCCCCATGGCATTGTCTCTTTCTGTGATGGCCTCACGCATGACCCCCTCCGCCAGAAAGCTGCCTTTCTACAGGGCCTTCAGCAGGAGGTATGGGAGTGCTTGCCAGAAGCATCAGATATTGTTTGTTTGAGAAGGACTCAAGTACAATATGGGAAGGTCTGGGACTGTACTTCTGGCACAGCAGTGGTGCATGTGGGAGCATCTTAAAAGAGCACCTGAGAAGAAAGTAGAAGCATGGGAAAAAAATTAATCTCTTCTTCCTCTTCTATTTATTGCAGGCAGAGGTCACCATTGTGGCTGCCTATGGATCCACCAAGGACATTTCAGTTTATAGCTCCCTAGGGCTTCCTCCAGCTCAAATCTACATTGTGGGTCGCTCTGTGAAAAAATTACAAAGCCAGTGCCAGGTATGAGGTTTTGTGCAACCGGGAGTGGGGTGGGGAGCTTTAGCTGTCCTTCAGTTCTACACCACAGGCTATGGTACCAGGATGTGGGACCTCCAGTGTAATAGGGAAACCTACAAAGTCTGTGGCTTGTCATGAAATGGAGATAAGAGGGATTAAAGAATAGACAAGTGATGGCTGCTTTAATCTCTCTTTCCCTGCAGTTCCTGTCAGATGGTTACGTCGCGCACCTGGCACAGCTGGAAGCAGCTTCCCTTGCCCATTCCCCAAAGGGGACAACAAGGCCCACATTGGGCAAAGGCAGTTATGGCTGTCCAGCCCCTGTTGACTTTCTGCGCAAGCAGAGCCAGCTATTGCGCTCACGGGGACAGAGCCAAGCTGAACGCGAAGGTGGAGGGAGCGCTCAGCCCCGAGCCAAGACGCGGAGTGTCAGCCTCAAGTTGGAGAGTGAGGAGTAGGCCCTCACAGGAAAGCCTTTGCGTTTCTGACTTGCAGTCGCTGGTGCCAGGACTGGGTCTGTGAGAGGCTGCAGATGTGTGAGAGGAGTCAAGAACACCAGGCAGAGAAGAAGAGAGGGAAGGAGAGGGCTCTGCCCTGAAGATGCTGCAAGCTGGGTTATGGTGCTGCTAAGACAGGAGGAGAGAACTTCTGTATAATCCCAGAAGTTGTTTCCATTACCCTCAGTTCCAGCTCCCGGCTCCCAATCGTGGTCTCCTTTGACCCACAGTTCAGCCAACATCCCTCAACTCATACCTCCTGGGGAATTGGAGAGGGAGGGAGGGGACAATGGGAGTGTGTTCATATTAGCCTGACTAATTGTGTTGCATTATTTGTGAATTGACTGTTCACATTCCTTCTCTTTTCCCAGCTCAGACTATTCAGTTCTCTTAAAACTGAGATATATTCCATTCTCCTAATCGGATACCAAGTGAGGTGGTAGTGGTTCTAGCAGCTTTCCCAAGTCTTCCCATGTTCCTTTGTGAATTAGGGAGGGTGGTTGGCTAGGGAAAATCTAGACAGCAGACCTGCCCCCTTCCTTGAGCGCTTTGCTCCAGCCCAATCCTGCCTGTGCCCTGGTTTCTGGGTGTTTGCATGATACTGCCCTTCTGTGCATTTATTGTGTCCAGTGCAAGAGAGCACAGGATATCTGGGAATAAAGACGACTCTGTACTCCTTTGTTGACATAGGAGGACTTGGTTATTTATTTCATTGTGTCAAAATATTTGGAAAGTGGGGAGTTGAAGCCTGTTTTGAGAGATATTAGGAGGGGGTTAAATTTATCTTTAAATGTATTAAATAAAACTGAAAAATAAAAAAATAAAGCCTGAACACTGTGTGTCTTGAAGTAGCAGCCAAAGGGCGATCATTGGTGCTTCTAGTTCAGTATCACCTTTCATTTAAATATTAAAAGCTCCTAGGACATCTGAAGGTTGGAGCCATGCTGTCTTGAACTGAGATACAGATCAGGAATCATTACTAGAAGGATTATACAGAAATACAGACTATTCAGCTCAGCTGTACAAATTCTCACACTGTATGTAATAAAATGTAATTTTAGTTCTAAAACATCTGGAGTTTTGGCAGTTCAGCTATTTAGCTCCCAGAATCCTTGATCATGTTAGCTGTAGCTTCTGGAAGCCTGAAACACCTACAAGGTACCAAGACAGATTTTGTTTTAGAGTATAGCATATTGTATGTCTAACACAGGCACAGCTTGACCAAGCTCCAGCTCCTGTTGGCATACAAGACAATGAAAATCTTCCCTTGTTTGGCAAGGTAAGAACTGCACTCTCAGGTGAATGGGTGGGCTTATATTCTAATTCATCTGGACAACTTTTTGCCTTCCAGTACGTTGTTGAGAGTAATATGTTGTTGAGAGTAATGGCTAGGCCTGATGAAAATTATTTTACTGCAGTAACTGGGTGGAAAGCAGATACTTACCGTAAATGTGAGGTCAACAGCCCTTAATTCATAAGGGCTCTAATCTCAGTACATTGTAAAATGTTCACTTTTTGTATTCATTAAGGTGGGATTTGACTATTTTAAGACTTGAAAGAAGAGTCAGTCTTTCCCCTTCTTTAAACTGTTCCACCACCTAATTACTGTTTCCTGAAGACTTTGCTATGTTACCTGGGGCCACCAGAGCTGCATAATGGAAGTCAGTTCAACTACTGTGCGCATACATTGTCAAACAGACAATAGAAATATCCAGTGTTGGCATGCTACTACGGTAAATGTCAGGGAGGTTAAAGGCCCCCACACACACTTTAGCTGTTACCAGGGAAATGCTCAATCACTGCCAACCCACTCTCCTTGGTAATGTATAGTTGGGAAACAAATGTGGTATTTATGGTATCAGCAGCATACTAATATTGCACCTTCTCTGTTCTTGTGGCTGTTTGCTCATGAAGCAGGGGAGCACTCTTGCAGTGACCTCCCATCCTGTGGTTCTTTCAGCTAAAAGGAAAATTTGACTAGTGGCAACCATCTGTATCAAGAATATGTTGGTTTGTTGAACAGGAGACCAGCATTCCCCCCCCCCCCCATATGCCAGGGACTGGTAACATATTTGTATCCATTGGCTACAATTGTTCTTTTCTTTATAACTTTCCAGGGTCTAGTAGATGGACCACAAATTTCAATTGTTGCTATATGCCTTCAAGTTATTTCTGACTTATGATGATCATGGGTTTTTCTGGGGCTGAGAGTATGTGACTCACCCAAGGTCACCCAGTGAGTTTTCTTGGCTGAGCAAGGAGTCAAACCCTGAACTCCAGAGTTGTAGTTATACGCTCAAACACTACACCACACTGCTTGAGAAACACTACTACTACTACTACTACCACTACTACTACCACTACTAGCTGCTGCTGCTTTTGCTGCCATTGTTGTTGTTGTTATTATTATTATTATTATTATTATTATTATCTGAAATCATGCATCAGAAGATGGTGTAAATCTTCACACAGCTCGTACTATGTCCCAGCACCCCTTTCACTTCCCTCAAAACAACACTTCTCATACACACGACCATTTTCTGACCGATGGAGAGTTGGGGGTGATGGTGAAGTGTTCACGCATGTGCTTATAACTGAATGCACAGTGGCAGTATCATTGTATTGTTTTATGCTGTGTTATTTTTAAACTGAACTGTTTTTAATTGCGTGTTATCTTTCTAATTGTATTTTATCTTTTCAAAAAGTAGAGTTAAATTGTTTTATTATTGTGAATAGTTTAATTCCATTTTAATGTGCATTTTTATATGTTTTAGCTCTGCCATTGTTTATTAAACTGAAAGCCGCCTTGAGCCCCAATTTTGGGGGATGATGATGATGATGATGATGATGATGATGATGATGATGATGACAATCAGTCCAGAACTCCCTGGGAGGTCCCAGAGAATGCCTTCGACATTGTGAGTCCGGTTTTAAACGAACATAGGTGGATGCTTTACCACCCACCACCTCTGGCTCTCTATGGGCCAGTAAATGGCTTTGTTCGGGGAAGGTTTTTTTTTTTTTTTTTTTTTTTTTTTTTTTTGAGATTTGGGGAGGGAAGGTCAATGCACAAGGAGGGTAGTGAATTCCTCCCTCTGTAATGACCAAAAAAAAAAAAAAAAGACAAGACACATGAATTACATGGATGCCAGCCAATCTTTTAGATGGCAAAAACATTTTCATGCTTCTAATAAGCCATTTGAGAGTCAGCATGGCGTAGTGGTTTGAGTATTGGACTACAACTCTGGAGCTCAGGATTCAATTCCCAGCTCAGACATTCAACCCATTGGGTGACCTTGAGCAAGTCATATACTGTCAGGCTCAGGGAAGGCAATGACAAATCTCTTCTGAACAAATCTTGCCAAGAAAACCCCATGATAGGTTCATCTTAGGATCACCATAAGTCAGAAACGACTTGAAGGCACACAACAACAAGAACAATGAGCCATTTCTTATTATTCCATGGAGATGAATAGCATGTTCTGATCCATTGGGCTGATCACAGAATTATTCCCATACTCCCAATTTCAGTCTCTTGTCTCCCCCATAAATCAACGTATTCATGTCATTCCAGTAACACTCACAGAACAGAGAGGAGTTTGCAATTAGAAAAAATATATATTAAGGGTAGAAGACAGGGACTCAACGTCCACACACATGTCTGATAGCTGTTAAGGTCAATGTTTAAATTGTGAGATCATGATGGCCGCAATGACTCCACTTGTAGCTGAAAACCTATTTAGAACACACAGTTCTAAGACCTAGAGGTAACACAAATGGTACTGTAGAAAAAAAAAATCCCACTCTTCACATCAGCCATGGTAGCATTAGGTACTGTTCAGACAAGCCTGTCACTGTGTGCTGAAATAATGTGCTCATTTCTTGCCTCATAGCACTTTGAAGGGCTCTTGGGACATTTAATAATACTATCATATAAAAATAAGCCTTGTACTGCAACTGCCATAATTCAGTCATTAATTAAAAGCCCATTTTAAACTGTTAAATGATACAGCAGTAAGATAAAACTAGCTTGTAACACAATTAAAAACCAGTTTATTCATTCTCATGAGGCAGCAAAGCACATTTTGGGCAGAAATTGAAAGTGGAGCGCTCCTGCCAAGCATCCTTGGGGAGGGAATTCCAAACAGAGGGTGCCAACATCCCTGGGGAATGCTGAGGAATGACTGAAATAGATCAAGCATTTGCAAGACGTTTGTCATTACATATAAATGCACCTTATTAAAACAAGACGCCCAAGCATCAAATAAAATCAATGGTCTTGGCATGCATTGCCATTCATCTGTGCTGGGAGTCAGTAAAGAGTTGAAGATACACTCAAAATACTACATTTGCTCTGTTGATCTTAGTACACCAAGGAGGCGGGAGGCATCTCTAGTCTTCCTGCTCCCATGATACTTCACCATTGGCCAGGCTGGCTGGGGCTGATGGGAACTGGATTTCAGTAACATTTGGAGGGCTACAATTTTTTCAGCTTGTGCTATGCCCAGCTGACTAGCAGACGGGCATAACGTCCGTGATTAGTTACTTAACTATACTTAACTAAGTAACCTCTGGCCTGATATGTTCCACCCAAACCTGATAAACACAATATTCACCCATACTCCAGTTGCTGGCAGAAGGGACCATCTTCTCCGCATGCACTTGAAGAACTCTGGAATTCCATTAGAAAATATAAAATAAAATAAAACCAACCCACCCCCAAAGCACACTAGGTAGAGCATAGGTAAAGTAGGCCAGGTTAAGGGGGAGTGCAGAAGAGAGTGTGATGGCAGAAACCCCAGTCACACGATTGACAAAACATGCAATAATGGCTGCTCACAAACTGTTTTTTTCCATTTTCTTTAACTTGTGTGACTGCAGCAAGACTGGGGGTCATATGACAATTTCCTAAATCTCTCCCTTCCCATCCTTATGACCTCTTATGTTCCCGTCTTCTCTTTATCAGCAGGGCCTGCAATGCTGCCACTCTGAGCCACTGTTACGAAGTCTCAGCCTTTCTTGGTTTTGTGGTAATGGTGGTGATGTTTAATTGCCAGCTTTCAAGCGTGTTGTGCTTCTTTTTATACTTTGTATTGCATCTGGTTACATGCCATAATAGTGTTATTATGGGTTAATGAGTACAAATGAAGTGGGTTTTGAACAGGACAACCTGAAACAACTGACCAACGTGGTAAACACTTTTGTTTTTCACAGGAGAAAGATATCAAAAGTAGAGGGATGGTATGGTCCATTTCTCTTCCTCTGTCATTTCTTAGAATGCAACATCTGAGCAGTGATGGATGCACTGTTATGATCTTGTGCTGCAATAGTGTTATAATGGCTTAACACGTACATGTGAAACAGTTTTGACCAGGACAACATGAAACAACTGACTTGTGTGATAACCACTTTTGATTTTCATAGGAGAAAGACATCAAAAATGGCATATGTGTGTGTGATCTGTTTCTCTTCTCTATTTCCTGTGCCACCTTATACAATGAGAGATTTAGGCAGTGGTGGGTGTGCCATAATGACATTGTGGTGTAATAGTGTTATTATTACTATATATGTATGTGTATTGAAGCATACCAGTCATGAAGCACATGGCAGGGTAAATGGGGTGGTGATAGCTGTATTAGTGCAAATGAAAACTAAATGTGCAGATCACCCTGTTACAGTGCAAATATGGCAATGGTGTGATACACAGCATGAGCAATCAGCTATTGTTGTGTGTCCCACTGAAGCATACATAGCAGCAGCAGCAACAGCAACAGAGGTGGCCTTGTGATGTTGCAAGCAGCAGGCAGTCATCATTGTTGAATACGTCCAGCTTCTACTGCAAATTGGCAAAACCATTTTCTTCAGCTCGTGATGCCTGGACAGGGAATAGTTATGTCTTTGGACATTATCACACCAGCCCCTTTCATACTGCAGTCCTGCAAGCTAAAATAAAATAGCAACATACTGATTTTGGAGCAGCCACCATCACACTATTTGCACAATCGGGGCTGTTATTGCCATCATGTTCTCTTCCCACCCTCTCACTTAACCCAAGCCTCCCTCCCTTATGCCTTTCCAGGCATGCCTTTAGGGTGTTTTTTAAATCAACTTTTTTGCATAGTGATGGAGCTCTGCAGCCTTTGATTTGATTTGAATTAAGCTTTTAAAAACATTTTTTTTAAAAAAAATGAGGCTTCAGAGTTCCAAAATTGGACAAAAAAAAAACAGGGGGATTTACACCAGCAGGAATTGAAACTGGGCAGTTTCATAATGTCCATATCCAGTAATAGATTGCTGTTACGTTACTCTGTGGGGAGCCAGCAAAGTGGCCAATGTGCATTGGGACCAAATGGGAACATCATGCATCAGTCCTGTTGTCCAGTGGGACACCAGCTAGGGCATGCCAAAGTGCATTGGGACACTCTTGCCAGTGTCTCATTGCACACCTTTGCAGTTCACTAACAGGGTTTCTTAGCACTTCTGCTATGTAGCTATGTATATGTAAAGTTATACAACGAGGGGGAGGTGAAGGGGAGGCTGGAAAGGGAGGAGGAGGAAACAGTGACACCACATGACTGCCAATTGTGCAGCTACCATGGGAACAGTTTTTTTCACCTGGGGCATTGCACAATTAGCAGTTCATCCATGGGTTTTCCCTGTGAATGAAAAGGGATGGGGCAGCTATGGGAAGGAAGCGGCATTGTGCAATCAGAATCACTAATGCCACTTCCTTTCTGTGGGAATCATGGTTTAAAAGCCAGATGTGATAATCTCCTTTATGTAATTGGAAAAATATAGTAGTCTGACTGTTAAGGCTACAGCTTCATCCACCCCAGTAACATCATGGGGGGGGGGGAATACAGGCCACACCGGGTGACATCCCAAAAGGGGTGTGTGTGACATCAGGTCAGCCCCCTACACCTGTGTGCACTGTTTTGGGGCCTTTTCAGGCCACCTAGGCCCCACACAGAGGCTTTTCAGGCAGCTTACGCCATGCACAGAAGCTTTTCGGGCAGCCTACACCCCGCACAGGCCCTTCTCGGGTGGCCTCCGCCCTCTGCGGGACCTTTTTGGATGTCCTACACCCTGCACAAAGGCTTTTCGGGGGCGCCCCAGAAATGCTGCTGGAAGTCCAGGGCCACAAGTCCCACCTGCCAGAAGTCCAGGGCCAGGACCCCCACACACACACACACACTGGGTGTCACGTAGTGTGGGAATGCTACCAATCCACCCTATGATTCTGAGCTTACGTTTGCACCCCTCACCACAGATTTTCCTGGACCTCTTGGTCACCTTCAAGGAAACAGCAAAGTGTTCTCCAGACCCCTTAGCAATCTCTTCTGCTGCCTCCCTTCCAAGGCTTCAGATGAAGTAATGTCTTCCATTTATTAAAACAGTTGTCTTTGTGCAGATCAGCTCATCCTGTCTAGACTACAAACTTCCTCCTTACCACCCTTCCCCTTGCTATGCTTTTCCTTTTCAATTCATTTAAGACACCTCTGCTTCTCTACTTTCATCACCCTTGCTTTTGTAGGATTGCATTATTGAACACCTCAAAGACATTTCCACATGTGAGGCATAAAGTTTTATCATGCAAAAATGAACTAGAACACTCCTTTGCAGACTTATTATGAGCTAAGATTACTAGTACAACAGGCATTTCCTTTCACTTCTCTTTCCCCAGTCTCTTCTCCAGAATCTCATTTACTGAGTGTTCTTTGAACAGCAGCCAGACATGCAAACTGCTTCTACTGAAAAATTATTATTACAGTATTATCACTATCACCATCAGTGCTTTTGAGTCCTCAAAGCACTAATGCTTCCAAAACTGTTAGAAGTCAGGCCAAAGTTATCATTCCACTACTGAAAGTAGCAGCTGGCTACAGGCTAGTGGGTGAGTGTGTGTGGTCAAGGTGAGATTTTAATTAAGGGATTCCTGGTTGAGATTTGTCTGATATTTTGCACTGTACAGCCCTGAAACCCTTTATGTAAAACCTGTTCTTTCCAGACGGCACATATGTTTGTATGCATTTCTTTTCAATCAAAACACCATCACATCGATAACAGAGAAAAACAAATTGATACTTTAAGCCCCACATGTGAAACACTCCCCTCCCCAACTGACTTTGCACTGCATCTTGAGTTGCTATCAGGCAATATGGAAGCCATGCTTATTTCCTCTCTGATCTGCTATAACCATTTATTCTGACAGACATGACATCCCCTTGAGGTTATGAAAAGATTAATATGAACACCTGAGCTTTATGAGCTCTCTTG